TCCATTGCTCGTCATCATTAAAGTAACATAAATTTATTGAAATGTCTTTACAAAAAAACTTGAGAAAAGATGGAAAAAAACAAATTCAAAAAAAATGCCTCAAATGATGAAATGATCTTCTTTATTTGGATGCCCCCGAGTTGCTGAAGTCAATCTGGTTCTTGTTACGCATCTTCTGCACGATTCCCTTGAATGTGAAGCAGTTCTTGATAGTGTGCCTTGGGACACTGCCATTATATTCGTAATGAGCATTCTCATCATACCGTCTGGGGTATAGGGTTTCACCGGGTATGACGACACTACGTGAGTGTCAAAAAGTTATTGGTAAAGTTCCTTATAAGTCGTGGGAATAGGATCGAAATGTTCTCATTTTTTATGAGACACGTGAATGTAATAGAAAAAAGAGAAAAGTAATGTGAAATATGCAGGAATGCATGATGCATGCAATGTTCGAGGCATTGATCCAAAAAATGTGTCTGTTATTAGAAATAATCCTTATTGGGGACAAAAGTGTTTTATCTTTTAAGAGACAAAAATATCTTGACAGCTTCTGACATGTTGACTAGTCTTCTTCCTTCGTCTGTCACCGATTGAATAACTTGTCGAACCGCTCTGGCTTCTCTAGATGAACTGTGCAAATGTTGAGTTACTTTTTGTACTGGCCCAAGAAGTCTCGAATGACTACATCTCTGGCATTTATCTTTTTGTTGAACCTGTTTTCAACGAATACGCCATTGGAGCTCTCAATTAACATGAACTATTTGTCTGTTTCTTGAACTCGTCAGCAATGATCTCCAATTTCAGCTATTGTTTTGTCATTGTTGCCTTTGAAGGGACTCCCAGGATCAGTAACCTTCATCTTGCCCCTGCAACCTCTGCCAGTCAGTTCTCCAAAGATAGGCTTTCATTGTGCTTGATGTAGGTACCACGTCTTTTGTGTCCTTTATAATGCAGCAGAGTGATATACTTTTCAATTGTGGGTACCACGTCTTCTGGATTGAATGTGACACATAGTCGCCTTGTAGGCTGTCTTTTGCATTTTTATCTCTTGTATTACAACCCCTTTGTCCATTAATGCAAATTATTTATGTTTAACAAACACGTTTTTGGTGGATCAACACCTCTTATGAATGATGTAAATAATGAAAATAAAATAAAAGAGAATAAAAATGAAAAGAGTTAGTGAGGAAAAAGAAAAATCAAAACAATCATGAAAATAAAAGTCCTACTCCACATGATATCTATCCCACACACTTATTATTCCTACCCGAACATGATCTCTATCCCGCATGTTAATTTCAAACAAATCTTAACCGTATATTTGTCTAGTTCACATTCTTTGGAATAGAAAATAAAGCATGAAATAATCTCGAACCAGCCTAGGGTTTGAAATGAGATTTTGGGTGGGTTCTAATTCTCCATGGTCTCCTGGTTTTTGTTCTAAAAAACGGTACCCAAGTTTTCCTTACTGGTGCCCCCTTGGGCTTGCCAGACCCTTAGTCCTAAGCCTATTACAAGCTTGTGTGGACTAAGTTAAACTCGATAGGACACATTCCCTTATGTTTTTGCGGTGAATAAATTCACACGAAGACATAAGGTATATGAATCCCGAAGGCTACTTGCGAGGCTTGTGCGGTGAATAAATTCACACGAAGGTGTCGCTTTCACCCCTACTTAAATAGGGTTCGAAGCTCGGGTTTAGAGCCTTAAGTGAAAAACAAGTTTGGAAGGCTGAAATCATTAGAAAACGGTTAGTACAACTATTTACTCGAAAACATAATCAAAAGTAAGCAATAAGGATCGAAATGTTACCTTAAAATTTAAACTTACCCTTTTCGTTAAAAAGACAACTGGAAATTACCTTAGCCTGACTAGCTTACATTTCCCCAATAGAGTCGCCAAGCTGTCGGAACTATCTTTCGGTTGGGCCCGGAATTGGGCTTCGACTTAAAATAGTTGGGTTAGAGTCGCCACTGACCACTTTAAAATGAATTAAGGTGGGTCGGACACCATCTTACATGATCTGCATTTTACCAGAAACGTGTCAAGTTCGGGAGTCGGTTACGGTCAAGGAAGGATTACCACCCTTGAACCGTCCTTTCGGTACCAATTAATTTTTCGGTTGTCTTAGTTGCGAAAAGTTAAATATTAAAATTAAAATTTAAAACACTCGATTTGAATTACTTACCTTTGATCGATTGGAGTTCTTCTAAAAAAAATAAAAAAAATGTTATATAACAAATAGTAAACAAATATTGAATAAATTAAAGGGAAAAATAATTATATAAAAAAAGTAAACAAAAAAAACAAAAAAAGGAAGATGAATAAATAAAAATAGAAATAGAAGAAAAATATTAAATAAAAAGGAAAAAGAAAAAGAAAAAAATAGATAAAAAAAGTGAAGCTAGTAAAAAATATGATAAAAATAAAAGAATAACAACATAAAAAATACAAAATACAAAATGAAGAAAAACAAATAATAAAAAAAAAGTTAAATTTTGAAAGAAAAAAATTAATTTAATAAAATAAAAAAATTAATTTACGTTAGTGACAAAAATATAAATATTGAAATATGCATGCTCAAAATGAAATAAACTGGAACTTAATGAAGTGATTAAAATAAAAGGTTACAAACCGTCGGGGACTAGAACGCCATTTCCCCTAAAGTCTCAAAAACACGAGTGTATATGGGGCAAAACTGCGTCGTTTCGTTTGGTACCAAAACGACACCGTTTTTTGTTCGAATATTTAAGCTCGAAAAGGCTTCTTTTTCTGTGCATTCTCCTCATTTCTTCTTTGCTTCCAGAAAAAAAAAGGGGAGAGAGTTTAGACTCTCCCAACTCCCCCTCGTCGGGAAAGAGAACCAAGGCGGAGCTACATCGGCGCACTGCGGCGCCGGAGGCCGGAACTAACCCAAACACCCACAAAAGATGATCTTTGGCGCTCCCGGTGCTTCGCATGGTGGTGAACTCTCTTTTTCATGCTCTATTTTTGTTTTGTTGAGTTTTGCTATGGGTTCTACAGTGGGTATTATGATGATTTATTTTGGTTTATTTTGATGTTATGTGTTTGATGTGGGTTTGTTGATATCTCTCGTGTTCTCTCGATGTTGATGGTTTATGTGGCCCCGTTGGTACCGTGGTCTCTATATTTGTGGGTCGATGTTCTCTCCGTGTACTGTTTGGATGGTGTTCTTTGTTGTCAATTGTTGATCTCCCCCTTTGGTTCACTGTGTTCTTGATATTTATAGGCTCCGTTGGGGCCATTTTCGATGGTGGTTGGAGTCATCCTGGATCTTCCGGGGTTGTTTTATTCGTGGTTGACCGGCCATCCCGGGATGGGTCAATCCCGAGATTTCGGCCGGCCATTTTCCCCTTGATTGCTGGATTCTCCTGTGTGACGCCTGTGATCTGTGTGTGAAACCCTAATCGTTGGGCAACCCCTTGAACTGGACCGAAACATGCCCCTTGAATTGGACCGAAACATTGGACCCCTTGAACTGGACCGAGACCTGGAAAAGAAAAACAAATTAAATTAAATTAAATTAAACGAAATAATAATAATAATAGTAATATACTAATAATAATATAATATAATCTATATAATATATATTTCAAAAACATTTTCTTAAGAATTATATATTAAATTTTAAACAAGTTTTCAAAACCATATATCATATAGTTTTCAAAAATGATTTTAAAAAATATCATATAAGTTTTCAAAAAATGTTTTTAAAACTATATATTATATAAGTTTTCAAAAAATATTTTCAAATCATATATTATATAAGTTTTCAAAATAATTTTAAAACTATATATTATATAAGTTTTCAAAATGATTTTAAAAACTATATATTATATATATTTTCAAAAACCGTTTGCAAACTATATATATATATGTGTGTGTGTGTGTGTGTGTGTGTGTGTAAAAAAATATATGAACGAAAATGAGTGTCTACAACATTTAAATTATATTTACAATTACATATGAATCATATCGATTTAAACTATTGTAAATTCAAAAAATTATTATTATATATGAATTATATCAATTTAAATAATAATAATACAAATATAAAAATACAAATAAAAAAAATTATAATAAAAATATATTTTATATAACTCACTATTAATATATTAATATATAAATCATAAATTTTATTTATTTTTTAAATAATTAAAATAAATTATTAAAAATAATATTTTTAAGGATGTTAGTATAAATTATTAAAATAAAATGTAAATATATAATTAAGTGAAGTTCATCCATTAGTAAGGATAAAATTATAATTTTCTTACAAACGTACAGTTGAAAATGAAAAAAAAAATTATAAATCTTAACTTTTTGTGATTGGTTTGAAACTATAGTTTCCACCGCAATATTTTTTTTTATTTTTACCTATTTAATATTGATTTTACAATTAAAACAAACTTTTTTTTAATAAAAAAAGTGCTTTTAGAAACCTTAATCAAATGAAGTATTAATAATTTGATATTAAAAAGAAGGTTTGTCCCAAAGGCTAAAGCCTACCCAGGTACACCAATGGTCCTTGATTCAAGTGACACATGTCAGTTGAAATGTGTCATAATAATATGTTGATACATAGTATTTTTGGATTGAATGGTTACTTTTTTTAAATTGAATTAAAATTAGAATTAAATTGATAGAATATATAATTATTAAAAATTAAATATATAATTATATTAATTTTGTTAATTGTCACGTCATAATCTCCATTAAAAGTTAATGATTAATATTTGATTAAAATATTTAAATAATTGAATGATTTAACCGACCAATTCAAAACATAGATGGTCAAAATAAAATTAGACAATAACTTTGTGAGTAACCATTTGATCTTGATTGAAAGTAAGAGTTCACTTGGTTTTTCAGTATAACTAGAGGGGGCAATTTGGTATTTAAGCCAAAAGTGAAAGATCATAAAAAAAAGGTTGAGAGATAAGAACAAAGCAAATGGACAAAATAAACAAATTTATTAAACAAAACAAAAATGTATTACATTTTACACTTCCATTAAACCCCTAAAATCTGAAAATTTCCAGAGAAAATCTTCCTTCATGAGCCCCCTTTAATTAAAAAAAAGGGGGAAAAAGTTTCATCCGCCCCCCCCAAAAGTTTCCTTTCCGAAGAATGGACCCTCGCCGTACCGCTCGAACTGTCAGCGATCCGAAAGTACGTCAAGTTGGGTTCTTTACCCCGGCGGCGCCACCCGATCGTTCCGCTTCTGATCTTCCACGTCAGCAAGATCCGATCCAACCTAAATCTCCGTCTTCCACTCAGGTTAACGATCACTCTACTTCCGGCGATTCACTCTCCCCCGTCATGATCCCTCCGCCACATCACCATTCAGACACCGTACCTCGTACGGCTCTACAGGTTACCTCCCCCAAGACGGCGGTCTCGTGTTCCTCCAGAACGGTAACGGTTCCAACTAAAAACGACGGCGTGCCCTCGTCGTTCTCGCCTGGTCGTAAGATTGTTACCGTGAAATCGCCATCCTCCTATCCGGGCGTCAAGGCGAGTACTGTACCCGCGAGTGAGCTTACGACTGTGTCGATGGTTAATTTGCCTTCGGGAATATCCGGTGAGTGGTAAACCGTTATTCTTGATAAGATTTGTTATTTTCTTTGTGGAAAAATATGAAGTGATTGTTATACTCTAGTGGATGAATTTAAACGAGCTCGGTGATAGCATTTGGGAAATGGATTTGGATTTAGAAAATAGTGTAATTCGTGTGATATAACACTTACAGATATTACATTTCGTTATTTTTCTCAAATTGATGGAGTTATTGGATGCTTATTTCGTAATGAATTTGAAATTGCTATCCATATTTGTATATATAGAATTTATGGTTCTATACATTTAAGTATAGTCTTATTGAGTCTCAACTGATTCCTTATGCAATGCATGAATTTCGTTCGGTTGCATATTTTGGGGGAAATAGCTTCGTTCTAAGATAGTGTTTTAAAATTTTCAAAAATTCTAGTGGGAGCAGCTGTTTCCACAGGCCCACCCTGAACCCTTCCCCGTATTTTTGCATGTAATAGTCTTGCTTTTGTCATTCTAAAGTATTGTGAGCTTGAAGTGATTCCAAGCTGAAAGGGAAAATTTGGTCACAGAAAAGGCTGGTGGAGCATCAGTTGAAGTACAGAATGATCGACCTGTTAGTTCAAAGACATTGAAAGAGAAAACTTATAAAGCTGAAAGACGTGCCCTGCAGGAGGCTCAACGAGCTGCCAAGGCCGCTGCAAAAGGTACATATTGCTATGAATTTTCCTTTTTATGCTTAAGTAGTTATGTTACTTGGACTCAACTGTAAGTGTTGAATGTAGGTTTGTGCCTCACACATGTATATTCATTTTTTTCCCAAGTTTTTTCATATATTTGGAGGGCCTTTGGAGTTTGGAGGATCCTGTCCTAGTACCCATGTTTAAAAATGTTTCAGACACAAGTGTTGGACATGGGTGCTTCAAGAAAAACGGGGAGTCAAAGCAACTGTGATTAGCTTTGTTTAAATTACTTCTTTCTTGTGAGCCATGCTTGCATTTCCATTGCATGGCTTTTTCCGTGTAAATCTAATACTCCCATATTCCCGAAACAGGATTCCAAACCTACATAAGTTGATGGTTGAGCTATAGATATTTGTTTTATCTTGTGATTTTACCTTTTAAAAAATCCTTAATAACTTTGTTTCTGTTTATCACAATGTATTTTTAGCTGAAGGGACTAAGGCATCAACAGCCGCATCTAAGGTCATGACCTCAGCAAATACAAAACCAAGTAAAGCCGCAAAAACGTCTTCACAAAAGAATGATAGTTCTCAAGTTGCAGCTTCTGAGAAGAAGATAGGTGAACGTGCACCTGAGAAAGATAGGAAGAAAGATGCGCCTCATCCTCGAATGCAATATGATGATACAAGCCGAGTTGAGAAAGCCAAAAAGCGTGCTGTTGTGAAACAAACTGAAGTTAGGAATAGAGTGGAATTGTTCAGGCATTTGCCTCAGTATGAACATGGAACTCAGCTCCCTGATTTAGAGACCAAGTTTTTTGAACTTGATCCAATGCACCCTGCTGTCTACGAGGTATTCCTCCCAACTTGACTTAATTATAGATTGCATCTTACCTTCCAGTAATATGTTCTTGGCAAATCATGCTCTACTGTTTCTTTATTTCAGCATCTCTTGTTTTGTTTAGTAGATCAGATATAGTTGAGCACTGTATCAAAGAGATAGCAATACCAATGAATTTTTGTTGCTTTGTCAGGTTGGATTGCAGTATTTGTCTGGTGATATACGGGGTGGGAATGCACGTTGTATTGCAATGTTTCAAGCATTCAAGGAGGCTATCAAGGATTACTCAACTCCACCAGAAAAAACTCTAATTAGAGACTTAACTGCAAGGATAAGTAGTTATGTTTCTTTTTTGATTGAATGCCGACCACTCTCGGTTAGTATGGGCAATGCAATCAAGTTCCTAAAGAATCGAATTGCAAAGTTACCGCTGGCTCTGTCTGAACCAGAAGCAAAAGCTACACTTACTTCAGATATTGATCGTTTCATAAATGAAAAGATCATCATTGCAGAGAAGGTGATAGTCAAACATGCTGTTACAAAGATTCGAGATGGTGACGTTCTTCTCACATATGGTGCATCCTCTGCAGTTGAGATGATTTTATTGCATGCCCATGAACTTGGCAAACAATTCCGTGTAGTAGTGGTCGACTCTCGTCCAAAGCTTGAAGGACAACTCTTACTACGTAGGTTGGTGAGGAAGGGCCTTAGCTGTACATACACTCATGTAAATGCTGTTTCTTGTATCATGCAAGAGGTTACTCGCGCCTTTCTCGGTGCTTCATCGGTCTTGTCTAATGGAACAGTTTACTCAAGAGTTGGGACTGCTTGTGTTGCTATGGTTGCTCATGCATTCCGTGTGCCGGTATTAGTGTGTTGTGAAGCATATAAATTTCATGAAAGGGTGCAGCTAGATTCAATCTGTTTTAATGAACTTGGTAGGCATTTCCCAAAGTATTTTTTGGATTCCACTTTTTGCTTGGTCTACACTTGATTTCTCATTTTGATAACCTAAATTGATGTGGCTTAGGTATTTGTTCCATCTGTTGCAGGTAACCCGGATGCCATTTCACGGGTTCATGGCAGAGAGGATATCAGCGACTTAGATGGTTTGGTCAATCGAGAAAATCTGCAGCTTTTGAATTTAGTGTAAGTGTTTATAGTTTGATGAATGTAGAACTAAGTGTATCTTCTAAGAGATGACAATTATGAACTTTTTCATTGACAGTTACGATGCAACTCCTTCAGATTATGTCTCCATGATAATCACAGATTATGGCATGGTAAGTTATGATTTTATTATAATGCTTCTTTTAGTTTGAAAAGCAACATGATTGGATTAAGACTTAGATAAGGAAAACTTAGTAGGTGTATCATTAATTAGAAGCATGGAATATCCTTCAAGTCGGGGTATTTTTCTTTCCCAGTCTTCATTACCGCAATTGATTGTTGTAATATTCATTATGTGTGCAAACATAGTAAATGCAATGCAATCAAAAAACACTCTTGTCGATAAATCCCTTTGATTTTTTTGCAAGTAGTTGTAAATCAATTAATTGCTGTTCTTGTTTTAGATTCCGCCTACAAGTGTGCCTGTGATTGTGAGAGAATATAGAACACCTGTGGTCCTAGTTTCAGACAGCTCGTAAATGTAACGAAGAGGATTCTCAACAATTTTGCTCGTGTTGTAGACCGTCAGTTTGGCCAATCGCAACGGAACAATAAGGAGAAATTTTTTGTCACAAGTTCTCATTTCTTATCATCTTTTTGTTCTTCCTGGAATAAGGCTATAGGCTGTGATTTCCGGTGTTTTTTTCTTTTGTTCATTTTCTTTTGAAACTGGCTCAGTGAAGAGTGCGATCCGTTCGCCTCTCCGGGCAAGAGTTGATCCAACTGCATATGTTGTAGTAGCCTTGGGTTTGTTGTTTTTCCTCCCTTGAGGTACCAAATGGGTGGTTTTGTTGCAAATTTTGCCGAATGTCGTGCAGGAAAGTTTAATACTAACTTGCCACGCAAGAATACCTTGAACGTGATTCTCAGAATTTCCTAGACAATATGATTTTCTTTTGGCTTTTCATTTTATTTTTTCCTCGTAGTATTGAGGCAAAGGGAACGTGTTTTCTTTGCAATTAGAACAGATGTCAAGCTCTAATGATGAATGTAAGTTTTGCTCAGTTATTAAACAGAATATTATGAACATGAAATTTACAAAATTATTTTTTTGAGATTTGGTAAAAACAATAAACTGAAGATAAAATATCATGCTTGATGGGAAGACATTGCCTTGAATGGTGACATCCTGATGGCAATATGCTGGCTAGTATGAATACACGCATTAAATAAATATAAGGGTGAACCACATGTTTGATATCTAAATTATTAGTTTTGTTTCATTTTGGTATCCAAATTTTATTTTCTTTCAAAATTATATCTAACATTTATTTTAAGTTTCAATTTGGTACCCACCGTTGAAAACTTAACAGTGATATTGACATTTAATCATAAGATGATGCCACACCAATAATTCTATTAATCTTTTAACGACAAGTACCAAATTGAAACATAAACTAAACATTAGATATCATTTAAAAAAATAAAATTGGGTACTAAAACAGAACCAAAGTAATAGTTAGGCTGTAAATGTGTAATTACTCTAAATACAATCAACCATACAGCCCTAGGCAAGTTTGTCCCAGAATAACCCTTTCAACAAATATTCTTCTTAAAGAAAGTCTGTTACAATAACATGAAATTAAAAACTGAAATTCACATGATGCAGAATAGTCCTAGATTGCCAACATAAAAACATGTCAAATGACCCTCACATTAACCAACCATTCAAAGCCTTATAACGTAGCAGTGCAATGGAAATCTCTTTTCGTCTTCTGTGATTGATTTTTTTTCCTTTTTCTTTAGTTCAGTAGTCTGATTCCCAAAACAAACAACCATTATAGGAGTACAATCAAAGGCAAATCTTCGATCTGGTCGGCACATTCATACAATCTCTGGTAACAGTTTGATCTACTAATTGTACTCAGATTCCAACAGCTAACTAGTTGGCACGATTTTCCGTGCCATATCCCCTACCTCTCCCTCCATAGCCGTAGCCGTAATATGAACCACGTCCTCGACCACCATGGAAAGAGCCACGGCCACCTCTACCACCACGATGCCTTGGGAAGTCGCCAAAGGTCTATATAGATATTGAAAAGAGAATATATGTCAAGAATTCAAGATCATGATACATGTTGAAGAAAGAAACAATCAAATACCATGCCAGAGATTTATGCAAATCCATCTCAATCCTAGAAGCCACATAACAAGGACCATTTTAACTGTTGTCATTTTAGTTGAAATTCCAATTCCTTGATTCAACATCGAACTTGAATTTGTAAGCAAGCTCAACTCCTAAGGCATGCACCTAGGTGCACTTAACCATTGTGGCTAGACAAAAAGAAGCATCTCCTTTCCTTTCGGGTGAAAATGCATTTGATATGATACATGCACAGTGTGCCTATATGCGTTTTTCTGTAAGGCAGTAAGTGCAAAACAGATGCCAGCTCGATAGAAACTTTCTACAAATTAACAACAGAAATGGGACCGTAAGGAAATCCAACATGATCAACAAAAGAAAAAATAAATTTTGCATCTTTTCTACAATAGACTGCACCATTCTTTACAGTTAATTAGCATAATCATGAATCTTAACGAGTTTTATATTTATAGACATCTACAGAAACACATACATATTACTTCACCCAGAAAGCGCATTTTTTAACATCTTACGGCTCTGGCAATATAAGATTCCAGTGCCTAGAGTAAGCACTTGTAAGATTATTTTTACACCATATGACCAAGGAAAGGAACAAATAAAAAGTCTCTTTAGTCAGAAATACACATGCAAGCATACATGCATATATACATACATTTAAATGCTCCAATGAAGTGAATATTGCAATAGAACAGTACCTCTGTATCTCTTCTCATTTGTTCTGAAAATCTAGTCCTCCCATTACGAGACCCGCCACCAATAGAATCACAGGACAAGGAATCAAAGAAATCATCCTTGACATAAACAGGCTGCAAAATAAAAATAAAAAAAGAGTAACAAAAGGAATTTCTAAAACAAATTATGGAAACTGGTTTGGCACCGACACACATATGCCGGGAGCTCTTACCTTAACTTCCACTTCCGAGGATCCAACACTATCTTCATTTTGTAAATCATCGGCATCTTCCTGAGCTCGGCTGCTTTTACCAAGATGACCCAAACTTCATCCTTGTTAAATTTCTCATTCATCGCAGTGAAGTCAAATTCTTCTGTAAATCTGGTTGCCGAATGCAAAATCTGCAGTACCAAATGTTGACATTACAAACTAACTATAGCCATTGGACTATAAAGGTCACGAGCCTTGTAAGTACACCATGGTAGGCAAGTCAATGGCCAATAGACTAAAGCTCTTGGACAATTTGACAAGCAATAAGCAATAATTTTCAAATGTGAGTTTTTACAGTTGGAAATATCATTTCCTTGAAGAAAAAGTAAACTAAAATTCTTTTAAGACGTTTGACTTTCTTTTTTAAATGTAATATTGGGAATTTCTACCATAAGAAAATATATATTATATGAAAAATAGAACTTAAAAATTACATCCGTATAGAGGACTATTTGTTTCTAAATAACATTTAGTGTAAGCAGACCCTTGATACCCCTTCACCATTCACCCACAGCAATTCAGCCAAACTTTCAGTATTTCAAAACATGAATAACCTGATAGAACCATTTCTTCATTACAGACATGAAGTTGCCTAGTTCAGGGGCTCAGAATACAAGCATTGCCACCATATGCATAATAAAAAACAATCAGGCAATGAAAAGAAACAGAAAACACACCTCATTTCCTCCTCTTCCTCTCCCTCTTCCTCTTCCACGCCCTCCTCGATAACTATGATAAGTGTGCATTGGAGCTCCATGTAGCTAGGAGGGTAATGAAGAACCAGCAGAAAATACATCAAAAGGGGGGAAGTGCATGTCAGCATACACGTAACCATTTCAAGCCAATATATTATACTATGAGCAAGTAAAAAGTATGCGTCCAAACTATTTAAAAGAATAAAAATCCAATAATAGCAAATGGTAAAACCAGCCACAACTAAAGAAACCTGATAATACGATTCCTCATCTGTCAAAAGGAAACACGAGATAAAGAGACTGGGCTAGTAAGCATGTGTAATAGATGCATTACTCAAGGGAAAACATTTCTAAATTCAATGAAATAAATTATTAGGAACTTAGCCAATTGTTTGGGAGAGATCTTTAGCTTGAAAATCCTTTGATGCTAGAAAAGTCAATTCAGTAGCACCAAATTACAATGATAGTAAGAATTAAAACTAAATTTATGCCACTAAGTTATAGAGATATAGTCATCTAAAACTAAATTTTCTAGTGGTATGATTTACTTTCAGATGCCTACAGTTAACCGAGGAATGCAACAAATCCATTTTTTTTCTCTACATATTTTCACCTTTAGGAGTAAGGAAATAGGAATTTAAGAGTAAAAGACACCGAATATATATCACTTTCCATTAAATTAGTCTTTTTAATCTGTAGGGCAAATCATGTAGGATTATGCAGGCCTGAAAACAGGGGTGAGAGAGGAAAGGGAACACGAAAGGAAGAAAGATTGTTCCACGATCCTTACACTCCCTCTCAGAAAAAGGGAAAATGCTAAATGTCACAGCATCAAAGTTCTCAGATTTTACAGCCCTTTCACTTTGCAAACTGGAAGCAGTACCTTATGATCAGAGGGTGAAGGTGAAGGCAATATAGGTTCCTGCCTTTCTGTTTTTGGTGGTTGTTGTGGTGCTTGTGCTGACAACGATTGTGGTGCTTGTCCTAACACAGGTTGTGATGCTTTTGCAGGCACAGGAGCTAGTGGAGGGGCTGAGGTCAATTTTGGAGATGACACGTGAACAACCTCCAAATCCTTCTGAGCTGTTTGTGAAGACAGAGACAAGGATGCTGTGACCGGTCCAGGTTGTAAAAGCTAGCCTGGGGTTACTAAAGGAGGAAGCAGTCCATCATTTAAAATTGAACTTGTTGCTCCTGTGGTGGAGGAAGCAGAATCAGGCATGCCTTTGAATGGCTTCATGGGATCAGCGACCGTCTTAGGTATTTCAGAAAAAGACAACATGACAGCACTTTTATCTAAAGCAGTACTTGATGGAGAAACCGATGGCAAGCTACTACTCGGAGCTGCAGTAGGAAGAGCTAAAGAAGAAGCCCTATCTTGATTCAAAAATAGTTAATGAGTCTGAAACTACATTAGTAGTCTGTGCAGGAAGAACAGAAGATGGCAAATTCATGGTGCCAGTACCAAAGGGTGGTAACAAAAGACGAGTGTTTTCAGGTAACTGAGAACCTGGCAAGTTAGAAGCTGCAGTAGGTAAAGAAGCATTCATAGCTGGATATTGCATAGATTGCTGCATGGAAGGAAGCATTGATAATCCAGGTGGGGGTTGGAGCAAAGGTTGCTGCTGTGGAGGAAGACCATTTGTGGACCCATAGTAACCTTGCCAGTACATTGGCATGGGAAGCCCACTATTTGTATTTGGAGCAGTTGATGAACCCCATGGCCCTATACTTGCACCAGGTTGATATAAAGGAAGATTACCTTGAAATGTAGGCCTTGTGAGTCCTATAGACGAAGTTTGGGAACCTGGATCTTGTATAGATCCTGAACCAGAAGAAGGCAAGCTGCTGGATGCAATTGCTGATTGGGGATAGTGAGACTGCAGAGGAAACCAACAAACATCAGACAAGTTGACTAATTCAGATGTATCTAAATTGAAGCTTGAAAATTATAGAATTGGATTCCCAAAATGCAAATTTGTAATGATATATTAAACTGAAAGCTTCAGTCAAAAATTACTTTGATTAAGCATATCTATGTATCCTAGTAACAGATAAAACAACTTTAAGCAAAGTGATTCACACAAGGATGGGGAAAACAGAATTAGAGGGAAATTGAGGAAAGGGGAGAAACATAGGAAATTAGAGAGATGAACCTGGAGCGA